ATTAATTTTATTCTTCGCTCATAAAAGCAGAGGTAGAACAGAAAACGGAATGAGACCTTTTCAGGATATTCTGCTGGAGGGCAGTTCCCGTCCGTGCTGTGGGATGTTCAGTGTGGCTGTTGCTCTCTGCTCTCTGTGTCAGGTGGGGGTGTGTACACAGCTTTATATCCAGCTGCTTTCCAACTGGGAATTCATTATGGAGCTTAATCTAGGGAAGTGGGTGATAGGGAACACAGAGGGAAGTGGCATTGTTCAGCCTGGAGAAAAGGAGGCTCAGGGGGGACCTTCTCTCTCTCTTTCCAACTCCCTTACGGGGGGGGATCTGGGGGGGGTCGGGCTCTGCTCCCAGAGAACAAGGGACAGGAGGAGAGGGAATGGCCTCAGGTTGTGCCAGGGGAGGTTAAGTTTAGATATTAGAGAGAATTTCTTCATGGAAAGGGTGGTCAGGCACTGGCACAGGCTGCCCAGGGCAGTAGTGGAGTCCTCATTCCTGGAAATGTTCAAAAAACATGGATGTGGCACTTGGGGACACGGGTTGGTGTGAACACGGTGGTGCTGAGCTGATGGTCGGACTCGGTGATCTCAGGGGGCTTTTCTAACCTTGACAATTCTGTGACACATGGCCATAGAAACCAGCAAATGCCTCCCTGAAGATCAGCATTCCTTCTTCTCCATGTACATGTTTTCAAACTTTCTCTTGAGGAGTGGCCTTGCCCCATCCAGCCCCCGGAGCGTTCCCAGTGCTCTCATCCCGCTGTGGTTTCCAGCTCGGCCACAAGCTGCTGGCTCACCCCAGCTGGTGGGCAGCTGATAGTAGCACTGTGTTCCTGTTCCTGAGCACACTCAGGAGAGCATAAAAATAGTTGGGAAAGCAAGCTAAAATCCACTAGGAAGGACAGAAGAAGGAGAGAGCAGGAGAAGAACAACATTTGACCAATACTTGAGCTCGAGCTGAGCAGAAGGTGATGAAATCAATGGTGAGTGTGTGATAATCGGGTGCAAGAGGAGGTTCTGCCACGGCAGAGGTCGGGGATGTGGGGACAGTGATATTGGGAAGTTAGAAATGTAAACAGGAATGGAGAACTTCTCATCAAAACCCCACACTTGCGTAATATCAGACTGGGACATGGGGTGGCATAACCGGGCTGGAAACGGCACCTTTCGGCAAAGGGAGGGAAAATACACCTTCAAAATAGTCACCAGGAAAAACGCTGCACTTGGCTGTGTTTGTTTACATCCTTACCAGGGCAACTTGCAGCTAAAGAAAATCTGGATTTGTTTGTTTTCCAAAACTCTTTTTCCCTTGTGCCATTTCACTTTCTGCTTATCAAACCATCCCTCTCCTGCTCTGGGTAGATAGAGCCTTTCAGCGAAGGAACTGAAGAGGCAAGTTCCCAATCACCTAATTAAACAAACATGTTTATTAGAGCTTCTCCAGAGTGCTTTTCCTAGCTATTTGCCAATGTTTTACTTAAATAAATGTCAAGAAAAACATTGTCAGAGGCTCATGTAATTTAGATTTTGGAGTTCCTGTAGACCAGCACTGCTCAGAGTAGGACTGACTTCAATATTGGATTGGATTGCTTAAGGACTTGGAATTCCAAGGGTTGAAATATCTCCAGGGATAGAAGTTCTACAAATTGGAAACCATTATTTGGAGTTTCCCCTCACAATTGTATTTTTACCTGTATTTCACTGTTACAGTGTGATTGATATACAGTGCAACTGCTCTGCTTCTCCATAGCATCTGCCATGAAAAAACAACAGAGGTGAGAGCTGTGTGCTGGGAAAAGTGTTCACCTCATGCCCGAGTTCCCAAAATAGTCAGTGGAGCAGGATCTGAAGAAGGTGGTTCAAAGGAAAAGCTTAAGTTTAAATGCTCCTGTTCCCACCCCCTTCAGCACTGGAGGCCTGGGGCAGTCACTGCTGACAGGTTTGAGTTGGGCAGTGATGGGATGTCCTTGAACACCTGAACTGAAATGGTCTGAAACCAGGGGTTGGGATTGACCCCCACTGTCCCCTCAGGTGAGACCCTGGGGAACAGCACAGGGAGGACGTGGAGCTGCTGGAGAGAGTCCAGAGGAGGCCACGGAGCTTCTCCCAGGGCTGGAGCCCCTCTGCCCTAGAGCCAGGCTGGGAGAGCTGGGGGGGTTCACCTGGACAAGAGAAGGCTCCAGGGAGAGCTGAGAACCCCTTCCAGGGCCTAAAGGGGCTCCAGGAGAGCTGGAGAGGGACTGGGGACAAGGGATGGAGGGACAGGACACAGGGAATGGCTTCCCAGTGCCAGAGGGCAGGGATAGATGGGATATTGGGAAGGAATTGTTGGCTGTGAGGGTGGGGAGGCCCTGGCCCAGGTTGCCCAGAGAAGCTGTGGCTGCCCCTGGATCCCTGGAAGTGTCCAAGGCCAGGTTGGACGGGGCTTGGAGCAACCTGGGCTAGTGGGAGGTGTCCCTGCCCATGGCAGGGGGTGGAATGAGATGGTCACTTTATGGTCCCTTCCAGGCCAAACCATTCTGGGATAAACCAAACCAGCTCTGAGAATGGGACAGTCCAGTAAAGGTGGTGCAGAGCCAGTTCCTTACCAGACACGCTTGACTTTATAGGATTTACTGAAAGGGTCCTGTTCCCTTTTCCATCTCCTACCCTTGGCTTTCCTAATGGTGCTGAATCCATTCCTTGTGGCTCGAACAGCCGAGGTGCTTCTGAGGGGCAGCACCCTGGGATGTGCTTGGCTGTGTTAATTAAAGTCACCCAGGAGCTGGGATGCACCTCCCGTCAGGAATTAGCATTTGGGAGAGGACAGTACAACTCAGAGCCACATTTCTTTTCACAGGCAGCTTTTTCCCCTTCTTTTGGCACAAGTTGTTGCCTTAGGAAGTGATAACACTGGAGGTGCTTATCTGAGCCCAGCAGCCCTGCAGCAGGAATGCTGATGAGCGCTGGGGGGGTGTTTGCCGAGCCCTGGCGGGAATCAGGCGGAATTATTAACGCTTACATTGGAACCTTCTCCCCCTGTTTTTAAACTTCTCGACAAAACTCTGGAGATTCGGTGGCTTCTTCCAAACCTCATTAAAATCAATAAAAAGCCTGTTGCAGATTTTGTGAAGGGTTGTTTTTTTTTTTTCTTCTCTCTTCTCTTGGACCTAAACCACAGAAAATCAGTCCAGCTCCTGCGACTCGAAATGTGTGTCTTGCCTTTTGAAAAGCAAATACGTGGCCAGAAAACTGTCCCTGAAGAGTCGTTCTGGAGTTGTGTAGTTTGCCTCCAGAGCTCTTTTTTTTGGTGTTTAATAAACTTGCTCCATATTCCCCTCAAAGGTGACTTTGTACCACCAGGCAGCTGTGAAGTTGAACTTGTCGCACGATCAAGTTGGTACCTCAAAGTAAAACTGTGTCCATTCCCCTCTGGGTGCTGGGGTTGATTATTGACCCAGAAAAGTTACTGGAATTGGTGTTTGGCTTGTTGGTTGAGAGGGATTTTTAAAAAAAATACAAACAAAGTTGAGCTCTGTTGCAGGTAACCAAATGTTGCTTTTAGAAACTGTTTTATAAAATGGTAAATTGAAGTTTAGCTGAGGTTTTGGACAGTTGGCATCGACACAGGCCCTTTCTGTTAAAGCACATACATATTTGTGTAAATACTGGCTGAATGCAGACCCGTGAGATTCCCCAAAGTGGGAACAGCGTGTGCAATGGTAGAATTTCTTTTGGTGCATTTGAGATCTAAGCTTTAGATCTTTCTTATATTGTGGTGCCCCAAACTGCCCCCCGGACTCGAGGTGAGGCTGCACCAGTGAAGAGCAGAGCAGGACAATCCCCTCCCTCACCTGGCCAGCAGTGCTGGGCCCAAGGCACAACTATTTTAAATGCACAATTTTTAATGCACAACTTCTTAAACTTATTTCTTTCTACTGCGTCGGTCCTAAAATTGTCTCCTCTTTTTATTTCTTATTTTCCCCGTCACAAGCCGTAAACTAAAGGATGCAACGAATGCAAAATAGAAATTTATTTTATTTAATGGACCAGGAGGTGAAAATTATCAGTAGTTGTTGCACATCAAAGCACAGGCAAACTATTTCCAGCAGCAGGATTATAGGGTGTAGAAGCTGGACTTTGCAGGCACATCCAGATGCAGCATGCTGTTGGGAGAGAGTCCAAGTCACTGGGAAGAGCAAATGTCCTGGATACAAGGGAGTGGTGTCCCATCAGTTTGGCTGCTTGTGTGCTTTAGGAACGGTTGGGTTCAGTCTGGGACTTGAATTGCAGGGTTTGGGTGTTTTAGTGTGAAACTTTGTGTCCCAGCAGTTATTCCAGAGCTGGAGGAGACATCTGGGAATACCTGCTGGAGGACTGGAGGAATGAAGCACTTCAGATCCTTTCTCCCTGTATTTGTTTCGACAAATACGTATTTGTGGCAATATTTATATTTACTTTTGAGGCAATGACTGTTTGTGCAGCACTTGGGAAGTCCAAAAGATAGGGCTTGGGAAGAGGGGTCTCAGGAGCATTGCTGTTCCCCTTGGATTTTGCACCATTGGCCCAAAGCAACAACCCCTGTTTGGGGTCTTCATCTGCTTTCTTGGGGGGAAAAATGCTTATTTCAGTGTGAAATTAAAAACCACATTTGAAGATCAATAGAAACCCACTTGGACCTTCTGTAAAAGTGCTTTCCTGTAGCTCGTGCTCCTGAATAATTTTAATTTTTGTCCACTAGTTAAAAAAAACAAAAAATCCGAATGGCTTTGTGGCCATGATTTTGGAACTGCTCCTTACCAGAACAGAGGCCTCATCCAGCACACGTGTATCCGTCGGAATCCGGTCATGGAATTCCCTCTTTGGGCATGTTAAGTTGTAGTTACAACTTACACAGCAGTTAAACTTTTTCCTTTTCTTTAATTAAGCCAAACCCAACGGAGGAGTCTCCTGTCTCAGCTGCTGTTTCATAAGTGGTTTTTTCAAATAAGGGTTCATATTTTAAAGTATTGTCTTTTCATTTGCAGCTGCCAATGTGAAATATCAGGAGAGAATAGTTGGAACTTTCCGGGACAAGAGAGGACTGGTTTATTCTCTCGTTCTTCGGTAAGAATTGCAGTTTTTTGTACCATCAGCTGCCTGGTGAAGGTGAATTCTCTGGTTATCATTGATTACTCTCTTAATTAAATGAAGTGTTTTCCAAGACCTTAGACAAAAATCAATATTTTCCTGAGTTGGAGTTTGCAACCTTTCATTATTAAAAAAAAAGACTCCGACTCTCAGTTGTGCACAGTCTCCAAGCAGAATTCTTTGTCCTGCTCCTATTCCTGAACAATGTGCAATAAGTTGTCAGCTGCTTCCCCAGTAAATATTATCCAGTTACTTCTGCCTGTGGCGCCAGGAAAGAGGAGAAACCCAGGGACTGAAATGAGGGAAGCAGAGTGTTTATCCTTATCTCAGAAATTTCCTTCCACCTGCCAAAGGGGAGGAAGAGTTTTCACTTTGCAACAGAAGCATCTTTTGCTCAAGGTAGGTCACATTCCTGAATGTTTAATTCTCAGATTTTCTAATGCTCCCTTGCCAAAACCTTTGGATTCCAATCTCAAACTTAGAGGGCAACTGTGCCACAGAGTGTAAATAGCTCAGGGGGCAACTCAGCTTGATTCTGATATTAAAATAAAAGGAATTCAGAATCTGGATGCAGAACAAAGTTAAACTCCTGGCTACTTCCTTTTTCCTTTTTTCCTACTGTAAGTAGGAAAGTTTTTTCTTACTGTAAGTCCAACTACATCTGAATATACGTGAATCTAAATGATCCTTTATTTATAGAATCTTTTTTGTTTAGAATCACTGGCAAACAGATGGTTATTGCTAGTCTTAATTATGCACATAATTTAGGCCAGAAGGCACATCTGAAACAAAAGGTAATTAAGATGTTCCCATAGAGGCTGAGCAGAGTCTGAGGTTCCAACCTTTGCTCATCATTTATCCTTTCAAGCAGAACGTGGGGATGCAGAATTAACAAGACCAACCTCTTTTTTGGTGTCATTTAATACACATGAAATTGCAGGTGGAATGACAACACAGTAAATTGATAATATCACCTTTTTTGGCCTCAGTGCTGGCCAAAACCAACATAATTTCTACCAATAACAACAAATTTCCCTGCACTGTGTATAAGCTGTCTGCTATTTCTTTATGATCCTATTGATAAGGAAGAGCCTGAATTTGAGGGAGCTTTCCTGACAACGTTTTCCTGGTCGGTTGTTATCTGAGCTGCATTCCACCCTTTCCATTTTAATTCTGGGAAATGGGTTTAACTGTCAGGGAAGAGTTGATTATTTGCCAACTGCAGTGAAACAAAATGAGAATTTTCATTCCATTCTGTAACTAACCCCAAAAAAGGGGATGGGTCAGCTTGGGAAGGGGTTTCTTCAGCCAGCTGGGGCTGGTCTGGCTCTGTCCTCAGAGCAGGATGGTGGGAAATTACGTGGGGAGAATTCCAGAGTGCCTGGTGGAGTTGGTGATGGGAAGAATGTTCCTGTTCTCACTTCTAAAGTCAGGATCTCCTTACGAGGTGTCCACAGACATTGATCCTTCTTCTCTTCCATGGCTGACCTGGAGCAGTTTGCTGAGCTGGGGAGGGGCTGGAAGGCTCTGGGATGGTCGGGAATGGAGATTCCCGTGGTTCAGAGTTCCTGGGGCCGTCCCTGGGCAGCGTGTGGTCCATCCCTTTCCCTGGGGCTCAGCCCGGTGACCATGAGCTCATGGAGTGGGATCAGCTTGTTGACATGGTGGGAAAGGCATTATTTCTTTCAGAGTGTTCAGTGCCCATCAGATCAGGGAATTCATTGTAACAGTTCAGCCTTTCTTGCTATTTTTGTCAGCGCTTTTCAGAGCTCCTTTGTGTGGTGGCAGCGGCGCCGCTGGAGCGTTTCACCGGTACCCAGACCCTGCAGAGTGTTTGCTTTAGAACCAGCCCTGGGACCTCCTGTGCCATTTCTCTTGGCAGCATCGCCCTTTGTATCTGATAATCCTGATTAAAACTGAAACAGGCATATTTTTTTCCACGCGGCTTTCCCAAAATTCCCCTTAAAAAGAAAGATTCTAACATTCATGGAAAAAGCCACACTGTTGTGATAAAAGCTGTTTTGCAGCTCAATGCAGGAGTTAGACTGAAAGTTGGGCAGTAATTTGGGTAGTCTCTGCTGGGGGTGTATGATGGATCTTAGGAGTACAGCTGTAAGATATTTTAAAAGAATTTTTTTTAAGCTAATAGTGATTTTATTAATATGGAGCTGGTTATATAATAAACTTTAAATATATCTGATCAGTCTGAAGCACAAAAGAACAACTTCGTCCAGCACAGTTCCTAATAGATTAAATCTTTTCCTCAGATGTGTAATAAAGCTCATCTTTTTAATTAGGTTGGTGTTTCTTTGATAATTGTGTGTGAAGCTGAAGGAAGTTTTTAAATAGAAAGGTGTTTTTTATATCACAGAATCATGGAATGCTTTGGGTGGGAAGGGACCTTAAAGCTCATCTCTTTCCATCCCCTGCCATGGGCAGGGACACCTTCCACTAGCCCAGGTTGCTCCAAGCCCCGTCCAACCTGGCCTTGGACACTTCCAGGGATCCAGGGGCAGCCACAGCTTCTCTGGGCAACCTGGGCCAGGGCCTCCCCACCCTCCCAGCCAGGAATTCCTTCCCAATCTCCCATCTCTCCCTGCCCTCTGGCACTGGGAAGCCATTCCCGGTGTCCTGTCCCTCCATCCCTTGTCCCCAGTCCCTCTCCAGGTCTCCTGGAGCCCCTTTAGGCCCTGGAAGGGGCTCTCAGGTCTCCCTGGAGCCTTCTCTTGTCCAGGTGAACCCCCCCAGCTCTCCCAGCCTGGCTCCAGAGCAGAGGGGCTCTGGGATGTTTGGTGTTCAGGACTGTCCTGGCAGAGCAGGACTGCACTGGTGGGAGGTGGGGGGTACAGAAGGCAGTGCTGCCTCCAGCACCTGCAGAACCCACCCCAGATGTTCACCAAAGAGTTCCTAATATAAAAGTTCACAAACATACCCCCAACTCTCCATCCCTGCAGGCTGTGGGTGTGAGAGCTGCGTGTGCAAGCTCAGCGTGATTTTAGGGCTGAAAAAGGAGGTTTGTGTGAACCCTACAGTTTTTAAAGCCATCCTCTCTGAAATCATTACCCTTCATTATATCAGGACACGCTGCAGAGTTAATCTGGGCTCTGCCTTCCCTGAGGGATGAGCTGGACGATGAAGGCTGACTGGACAATCAGGCTGTTGCTCAGCCATCTCCCTAAATTTAATTGAGCAGGAGGCTCATTTTTAAATCTTGGAGAGGGAGGAGAATGGGAATCGTGGAATGTGAAAAACCCACAGTGAAAACCAAGGGTTGGAAGCAGGAACCAGATGGATTTGGGGGCACTGCTGAACCCTGGCTTGTTTGGGAGCTGCAGGCTGGGACCAGACATGGGTCTGGGAGAGAAATCCCTGAACACAACGTCCCTAAAATGCCAAGTCATGCTGGAATCACCACCAGCTCTGCTTTTCAGTACCAGGGCTGGGATTTTATGGTCTCTGAAACATTAAAGATCAAACCTGATGAATTTATGGTCTTTTAAGCTTTAGTCATTGTGCTCCTTGGATGTTCTCATCAGTCACAGCATGGGTTATCACACATGATCCATTCTTCTTCCCTGCTTCTTTTGAACAAAAATGTTAAATAATCCTGCCTTTTTGAACAAAAATGTTAACTAATCCTGCCTTTTTGAGACTCAAATGTTAAGTAGCCCTGCCTTAAACCAATATTAGCAATGTTACTGTCTTATTGTGCTGTTGGTAGACAACATTTCTACATTTCCTTAGTTTCTGATAACTTAAAAGAATGTTCCTCCTCTCCATTGTTACAGGCATGGAAATTTCTGGGCTGTTTTGTATTATTTTTCCTTATCAATTTCCATAGTTGATAGATGCAGTCTTCTATCAACTCTCCTAGCTTTTATTTTTCTGAATTTTTTGAAGTTAGGATTTTATATCCACTTCTTGCATTAATTTTTAGTGAGTTAATGGCAGTTTCAGCTCGATTCTGCTCATAATTTCCTCCTTTTATTTATATATACAAACACACATCTCTGCCCATCCTTTGTGTGCATCTGCTGCTCCTTTTCCCTCTGTCAATATTCCATACAATGTGCAGGATGTGTTTAGGGCTCCCTGCAGTGCTGCTGTGCTGAGCTCGTGGATTGAAGGCCATTCAAATGGTTTTCTCTGATAATTTGAAATATATTTATAAGTGGCACCTGAACTGAGAACTGACTGGACTCGAGTTTATCATTTGTATCTTTAATGTGCCACAGTCTGCAAGTCCCATAAAACACCTGGATGAATCCTGGTTTAGTAAAAAAAGGGAAGAACCTACTGGATTTAGAAAGTTGAGTGTAAGATCAATCTCCAAATCAGACTGTAACTCTTGTGTTCAGTCATTAAGTTCCTAATTGGGTGATTTGCACAAGGCCTGTGTCAGTAATTCTGGACAATTTGCAGCTGATCAAGGATTGGGAATTGTTGGGTGGGGGAGCGAGCAGGTCCCTGGTGTTCAGTGATCTGGGGCTCTGGGAAAGGTCAGTGCAGGGAAATGGATGTTTTGATGCATCCATGGATATTAAAAATGAGCCATAACTGTAAAATGAGCATTTTGATATGAGCAGGAATTCCAGTTCATGGGCCACAGCTGAACCAAGATTGTCCCAGGAGGATCCAACATCCCGTGTTTCACACCGGAGCAGACTCAGTGATCCCAACGATCCCTTTGGATTTATAACCCACATATTTGTGATTCACCATCTGCAAATGACTTGGGAGAAAATTCCAGGGGACCTAGAAAAATGAATGTGATTTAATTTACATCCTGTAAACCCTGGTCTAATTGCTGCCTTCAGACAGGTGTTCTCCCAGCAGCACCTCCAAGGGTGATTTTTCAGGATGAACAGAAGGAGCCAGACACAATTTGAAACAATTTTGGCTCTCAGGAGAGTGAGCTTGTGTGGATTTCATCTTTTCATAATTACTGTTTGCTCCCAGTTTTCTAACAGCTACATTCTCAGCCTTTAAAAGTTAATTTGTATTTATTTGCCAAAAGAAAATGACTGTAACTTCATCGTTATGCTCTTCTGGTTTTCTAGATTTTAGTAAGACAAGAGCCTCGAAGTACTGGGAGTAAAGACGAGGATTTCTCCTCCCATCCAGGGCCTGTCATGGTAAGCAAGAGGGGTTTGTAGGGTCTCTTACAGAGCAGAAGAGTTTAAAATCTGAAAAACTTTATGAAATTAACATTTACATGGGTGGTTGTTGAGTTTTAAGTACAGTGCTAGTCTAGGCTAATGTTTTTTTCCTAATGCTGCTCTAAATCTTTCTGGATTTTTAATGACTGTATTAATCAGGCTGCAGAAGGGAACCTGTTCCCAATATCACGTTCAGTTGTCTGAGTGCCTGTCTGTGAAAGTTCAGCAACTTTAGGAAGTTGCTGATCCCTGAATTCCCTGAACTCTGCATCCCGTGTGAGCTTTTTCCGTGGTTGTTTACAGCTCCTGTGAGTGACATGCTGAGGGTAACTAACACTTTGTTCCTCAGGATGAAGAGACTCAGCACAGCCTTGAATGCATCCAGGCTAATCAGATTTTTCCCAGGAAGCAGCTGATCCGAGAGGATGAGAACCTTCAGGTAATCACCACCCTGCTCCTGGCCAGGCAGGATCACAAGATCTCCAGCTGACCTGTGGATTCTCGGGCCTCTCCTGCAGCATTTGAATTCACAATTAGCACAGGAGTAGCAGAAGCTCATTTTCTCCTTAAATCCTCCAGTACTGTTGGTAGAACAGAGAACTCAGCATTACAGTACAAGAGGTTCCTTAGAGTGTCGGAAAAATATCGTTATTTGTACTAATGTCAAGTGCCAGGTTTTATTCCAGAGTTTAGAACTCTGTGTTTCTTAAAAAAAAATAAAACTAAGCTAATTAAACACTGCCACTGCACGTGGTTACTGGGAAGCCAGAAGCCTTCTGTTGCACAAAAAATGGATATTTTTTGATTTGTTGATTTTCCAAAGTTCCTTTGGAAATTGGTTTAGTTCAAATGATTTGCCACAGAATCCTGGAATTCCCACCCCCTGCCATGGGCAGGGACACCTTCCACCAGCCCAGGTTGCTTCAAGCCCCGTCCAACCTGGCCTTGGACACTTCCAGGGATCCAGGGGCAGCCACAGCTTCTCTGGGCAACCTGTGCCAGGGCCTCCCCACCCTCACAGACAACAATTCCTCCCCAGTATCCCATCTATCCCTGCCCTCTGGCAGTGGGAAGCCATTCCCTGTGTCCTGTCCCTCCATCCCTTGTCCCCAGTCCCTCTCCAGCTCTCCCGGAGCCCCTTTAGGCCCTGGAAGGGGCTCTCAGGTCTCCCTGGATCCTTCTCTTGTTCAGGTGAACCCCCCCAGCTCTCCCAGCCTGTCTATCCATGCAGCCACTCTTATATCAACTGAAGATGTGGTTTCTTTCATTGTAATATAAAATATTTCTACTTGATCTAAGCTAAGTTGGTGTAAAACCAGATTATTTTGAAGTTGAGCATTTACACTTTTCACCCAGCTCAGCTAAACTGGGCTTAAGTCACATTTGTAATTAAATGTGCAGTGTGATGGCACTGCAGGTTTTCTAACTTCCTAAAACAGCAGCATGTTGTGCATTTTCATATTTGCAGTGAGAAATATGAAGCAGAAGGTAGGATTTGTCCAACTGACTTGAGCTGTGATGCACTGGGGGATCCAGTCTTGGCTGGTTACCTGAGCTTATGTGGTGAATATTGGGGAAATAGCAGAGGAGATTATTCATCTTGGGATGTTTTGCCTACTTTAGGATGGATTTAATGACATTATGGAAATGCCACTCTCCATTAAGTAAGGAGTGAGAGCATAATTCAAGGGTTTGGCCAGCCTGCTTGCCAAAATATGAGCATATTTGTCATAAAAATTCATTGCTTTCCCTGAGCAAGCACTTCCCACTCAGGAAAAGCAACCAAAAATGAGGGACCACTTAAGAAAAAGCTACAATTAACCTCTGAGCTGGCCTCAGCAGGAGCTCATGGCTGAGTCCTCAGCAGGTCCCAGTGTGATTTGAGGGTGTTCTGAAAGGTTTCTCCTTGTGCAGGTGCCGTTCATCGAACTCCACGGGGAGAGCACGGAGTACGTGGGGAGAGCAGAGGATGCCATCATTGCACTGTCCAACTACAGGCTGCACATCAAGTTCAAGGAGTCTGTCGTGAATGTAAGTGCTGCTTCCACTCTGGGCTCATCTCCATCACCAAACCAGAGTTTAGGATGAGAGCTTGGTGATCCTGCCTTTTAAGGGCAGTGGTAGGGAAAAAATCTCTTTATAGTGTTCAAATCCCATTTCTCAGGGTGAACAGATCCGTAGATTTTGGTGTACAGAGATACACCAAAATCAAATCCCATTTCTCAGGGAGAGCAAATAGTTATTAAGGCACCAAAAGGTGACTCAGCACCTCTGAAAACCAAGTTTCCTGAGGAAATGTCACATCACTCAAGTTGATGTTCACTTTACAGCCATGGCTTCTCCCCAAGCTCTGAATGGGAGAAATAAAACCTCTTCCAAAGGGCTTTTGGAGCATCAAAGCTTGATTTATGCCTTGCTTGGAGCTTAAAAGGGTGGAAGTGGGTCCAGCTGCTGCAGTGATGTGCCAGACATTGGGTGGTGTGAGTACAGTCACTGACAGGAGGGATCTGGAGCTGGACCTCACCCTCAGCTGCACTGCTTTCAAGAGCTTTTTGCCAAGTGTCCATTCTTTAAAATTGTTACTTATCCACCTCCTGGTGGCCTCAGACACAAATTAGCTGGGTGTTGGATGCTCCTGTGCAGGATATGATGCTGACACAGACCAGTTGTAACACCAGTTGTGGATTATATAGAGTTTGACAGGACATTATACATGGCACGGATTTATTTTTGTGGGAATTTATAATAAAACCAGTAAAATAAAATCCAAAGACTCAAAGCATTTTTTTTTTCTCCTGATGATGAATTTTTTACCAGTCTCCTTATTCCAACCCAATTCCTGACCCTGGCTAGTTCCCAACTGCCAGTGTCAGTCACAGACCCTGAACTCTGCAGGGGTGAGTTAAGTGTCAGCCCCCAAACTGTGTGTTAATTCCAGAGCTGGGAGAGGCAAGGGAAGCAAAATACAGGAGTTGACAAGTGTCCAACACACACGTGACTGAGACACACATGACCCAGTGATGTGAGACATCACAGAGTCATGGAATGGGTTGGGTTGGAAGGGACCTCAAAGCCCATCCAGTGCCACCCCTGCCATGGGCAGGGACACCTTCCACTAGCCCAGGATGCTCCAAGCCCCATCCAACCTGGCCTTGGACACTTCCAGGGATCCAGGGGCAGCCACAGCTTCTCTGGGCAACCTGTGCCAGGGCCTCTCCACCCTCCCAGGGAGGAATTTAATCAGCACCTGATTTAATTTTTGATGCCATGTCAGTCTTAAATTTCAAGTTTTTGTTTGGTTTTGTACCAGAACCAAATTATTAACTCTGTAAAGATGTTGGTTACGAACTGAAACTCGGTCTTCAGTGTTTTATGTTGTGTTTAATTATGTAGCTGTGTTACCTACAGGCTTTGAAGTGTGGCTGGGTCATGGTTATCACCAGTCACTGCATTTTAGTTCATGAACTGTCAGTGTTTTAGGCTGAACAAGCACATCTGCTGCTGATGAACTTGTGTGTGCAGCATTGCAGGGATAACCTTCATGAGCTGGGGGTTTTCAGCAAAGTAGGGTATTATTTCTGACCGTGGCAGTTGCTCAAAGTGATGGCAAAAAAAACGAGGACAAAAATGTAACTGGAAATGTGAGGGCTGTTGTTTCCCACTGCTGACCATCCAGAGCAAGTGGTACAAGATGTGCATGTTTAGGGGGAGCATCACTTGACTTTTCTCTTCTCTTACTCTGTAGTTAAACCTGAACTGGGACTTGAGACTTAACTCTGAAGCTGTAGGTGCCCCTGGGATGGTGGTGAGGGCTCCGTGGGGTGTGGGATACCTGGGGACTCCAGCCAGGGGAGGCAGGGGTTTTATGGGATTCCTCTGCTGCTCTGGGATACAAACCTCAATTCCAGGGTTGGAATCTGCTATGGAAATCTATAGTGTGTTCCTTACTGCTGGATTTTGTGAGTCAGAGTCTCATTGTATGGAATTGGCAACTGGAATTGCCAAAGTGAAGGATGGAATGTTGGACAACAAGGAGCTGAGATGTGGGAAACAGGAGTGACCTTGGAAATCAGGAGTTTGTCCTCGGGAATGCCAGGGAATGATGGATTTGCTTTATTAGGGAAGCCACTAGTGCATGGACTGCACTTCCTGTCACAGTTGTCCTCAGGATAATTGGGGTCATTAATTTTTAAGAATTTTCAGTTCAGTATTTTTGGGCAGTAGCAGGAATTGATGTTTTATCAAACCATGTTCCTTGTTTGTGTTCAGGAAAGATTCCATAAAAGTTTGTCAGTTTTACCACGTCAGTTTTGCTTCTCTGACTTTCATATCCAGTGTTCTGCCCTCTCACTCTGTGTGATACCTCATTATCATCAGCATCATTAACCAGAAATAATCAATTAGTGTATGAGGTAGAGCAGAATATAAATCACTCTTTGTAGCCATATATGACCATCACTAATAATGTGCTGTGAACTCGACTGGAATCCAGGGCAGAGAGGGCTTGGAGTGTCTTTAAGGATAAAACATTCCTGCAGTAATTAAGAACCATATTTAAATTGTTAAATTTGGGAGCAATAATCCTTTTGGTTATTATTGATCAAAATTATTGATCAGATGCTGATTTTCTAAATTAAATCTTCACTGAGTAGTTTTTCATTGAGTTCATTTGATTCTCTCCTGCTGGTTTTACATCACTAGAGCTGTTCAGAAAACACCCGTAAGAAGATATTTTTAAAAATGCATAAATGTTTCCTAATGTTAGGAATTGGGAATGATTTTCGTAAGAATCCCTGTCCTGAGGGCAGCCACACTGAAGACTTGTCACCTCAGTGAACACAAGTATTTCTGTGTAAGAAAGAGGACTTTTAGCAAATATCTGTGTAATAGAACCTGTGAAACAAATGGATTCCCTGTGTGTGGATGTGCAGCAGTTCTGGGCTGGAATCTCCTCTGGAAGAAGGTGGGATATTCCCATGGTACCACCTACTAAAGTCACGGCATGAAGGGACTGGAATCCAGTTACAAATGGATTCCTGGCCTTTGTTTTTACCTCTCTGTGCTCTTCTTTGGTTACAACTCACAGAAATGGTGCCTGTGCCACCCCAGTGTTCCTGCCAGAGCTCCCCATCAGCTCCTGCACCTGCTGGGAGAGAAACACTGTGAAAAAGTTGCTCCTGCTCCCATTCAGCAGTGCAGACATGGCTGTGTGTGGGAATCACTCCCATGGATCATTTCCTAGATCACAGTGCTAATGGGAACACGGTGTTTCAAATGCAAAAACAAAACATCCTGCAGACCATGAATAAATCAGGGGATTATGACATTCAAAAGTGTTGACTTACATTTATCCAGGGGATTGAAGTGCAGACTCAACAGGGTTCTCTGGGGCACATGGGAGGTTTGGTTCCCAGGCCCATCCCTATTGATTCCTTAAGAAAATGTCCAACTTTGCAGCTGGGAGTGTTTCTGTGTTTTCTCCCTGTGAGCTGATGGCATTGATGGGAGAATTAACATTTCGGTGCAGTTCAGGAAAGCAGGGATTGCATGGGGCCTCTTTCCAGGGGTGGGTTTTGGACACACTGCAAAAAGAAAGTCATGATGGGAGAGATTTTCAGTCTTGGTGATGAGGTGAGTTTTAGTGTGAGCTTTCCCTTGCTTGGCCTTTACTGGAAAAATGGTTGGATTGGGATATTCCTTATGTCCATAGCTGCTGTGGTTCATCCCTGCTGGAGAGGAGCTCAGCCCTTGTCTTGTCCTGCTGCTCAAGTTGTTCACACTCAGAGCACGATGATCATGAGAGCAGAGAGGGCTCAGTGATGGCCTTCAAGACAAAACCCAAGTGTCATCAGTTGTAATGAAAAGCAAAATTTGCTTCAGATGCTCCTTGTAGGTTCTGTGGACCCGGGTGGGAACGAGCTCCCTCCACCTCGGAGCCCTTGGGAGCTGTCCTGGCACCCTCAGTGCCTCCCTGTGCCACATCATCCCACACTTGAGGACACCCAGCCTTGCCCAAGTGCTTGTTAAAGTCACCAGCCTGGAACATCACCTTGACATTATTCCAGCTCTGAGCTGGGAAAACAAGGAAATACAAGGAATTACAGCTCATGGCCTGAGTGCCATGGGATGTCCTGGAGGGACTGGTGCCAAATGGTGCACAGGGAAGGGTCTGTGGCACAGTTACTTGTGCCTACTGCAGCCTGGCAGTGGTCCACTGCATCCCACTGGGAACTGTAGGCATGGATTGAGCCATGGGCTGGTTGTTTCAGCAGGGAAAACGTAACTGGTGCTTTCTCTAACTACAGAGGGATCATTCTCTAGGTATGTCTTGTACTGGTGTAAGATAACAGACAGTTCCAGTCATCAAAATCATTAAAAAAAAACCCTCAAAAATAAAAAGTTTGAGTTGTAGAATGTTACTGTTATTTAAAATGAGATAATTTTGGAGAAGAGACAGTCAGGAGAGAGATACAGCAAGAGCAGGATGCTCCAGTAGTCCCTGTAATGGGATGTAATTGGGCTCAGATAACAATGCATGTTTATTCTTATAAAAGCAGAAATGATTGCTTCTCCCTGCTTGGTTTCAGTGCCATTATCAGAGGGAAGTGCCTGCAGATGGATTTGATGTCTCTCCCAAGAACAGGCTCTGGGTGTCTGACTGGCATCAGCCTGAAAGATGGGCAGGGAAGGTTATCAGGGGAGGGAGGGAGCGGCAGCAGATAATTCTACAGAGCTTTCCTGGGGGAAGAATAATGGCCAGGAAGGAGATTGAAAACACAAGAGGAGCAGAGGACAGGTTTTTATGACTGGGAAAGAAAATTAAAAAGATTAATAGGAAGGTTGTCCTGAAGAAAAACGAGCAGATTGTGAGGAAATGGCTGCGCATGGGTTGTCAGGGGAGAACGGATGGTTGGGGAGCACAGGGAAAGGGCAGGGAACAAAGAGGGACTTTGAAAGAAGGAAATTAAAACAATGCAGGAGGAGAAGAATTAGTATGTCATTCCAGTGCAGACAGAGGAGGAGGAGCCAGGAGGAGGGAACAAGGTGGAGAACTGCTTAAATGAAGATGGACACGGGGGGAAAAAGGCAATAGAAGAGGGCGTGGGGAAAAAAGATATTGAAAGACAAAGCAGCATTGGAGTAAAAAAGCAAGTCTGGAGTCTCACCTTAGCTGGGGAGAGGTACCTTATTTTCCATGTTGGTGCCATTTAACTCAGTGGTAGATTTAAATAACTTATTAGAGGGTAATGGAATCATTTAGTTTGGAAAAGACCTCCAAGATCGTCAGGTCCACCCTGTGCCCCATCCCCACCCTGTCCCCCAGCCCAGGGCACTGAGTGCCACTTCCAGTCCTTCCTTGGACACTTCCAGGGGTGGGGACTCCACCACCTCCTGGGCAGCCCCTTCCGAGGCCTGACCACCCTTCCCATGAAGAAATCCTTCCTGAGAATTATTGTTGGGTGCATATGAGGCTGTCCAGTCAGGAAGAAAGACTGGAAGATTCTCCAGTCAGGATCCATTCCAGTCCATTTATCAGACAGCACTGTCACAATTTGCCTGCCTTGCAGACTAGAAGCAAGCAGGAGAAGGCGTGGAAGCAATGAGCAGGTCAAATACAAGGATTAGCCCACGGAAAGTACACCTGGTGTGGTCTGTGATGCACTTCAGTCTCCTCCTGCCTTGGCAGAGTCACCTGCAGTCAGGTTGAGCTCAGGGATGGCAAAGAGGGGCCCATCTCCCAGGAGAGATTCCAGTCACCACTTCTGTCAGTTGTATTAGACTGTCACGGGTCTCAACCAGAGATAATACTGAAAACAGACCAAAAGTCAAAATGATTTGAAGATCCAAACTACTGGGCCGTTGGGTCAGGCACCTCCTTGCCCAGTCTCCTTGTGCCTGGATTGTCTGTCGTTTAACATCCAGCTACAACCAAAGGAGCAGGATAACTTCCCTGGCCCAGCAGGCTGGTCCCTCTCCAGCTCTGGAGAGCCCAGTGCTGCCTCTGGGTTCTGCTCTGAGCTGAGCTTTAAGCAGTCCCTGCCTGTTGTAGTCTGGGGCTGTGAGCTCTGGCAATGATTTGGAGTTTGCACTCAGAACAGGGCTCTGGGCTCTGAGTGGTGCCTTCCCAGAGACAGCAGAGTTCTCCTCCCTCTCCTGGGCACAGCGTTTGCTGTGAGTTTGCTCCAGGCATCATCCTGCTCGGAGCAAGTTTTCCTCTGGTTTGTATTTCTGGGATATCTCTTCCCCTTGTCTACTGTTTTTAGTTCCATTTCCTTGAGTCCAGTCCTTTTTCAGCTCTGTGGTGCCTGTCTGGATTCCTTATCCCAGATCCTTGATTGGAGGTGACCTTCAAGGACTTGCCCAACCATCTGGAAAGGCCCTGGCAGGGCAGGCTCTGACAGCCACATCTTGTACCCCAAGCCAGACCTTAAACTGCCTCCTCATAGTCCTCTGATGGCAAAAATCAGAGTATTGGAATGGTACTGAATGATCCCCACGGCAGAGGGCTTGTTGCCTTGTGCAATGTTCAATACAATAAACAATTCAAACAGTTTTGTACTTGGTGTTATTATAGGTATTGGCTAAATTTAGACATTTATTAATTTTATTTCTTTAAGACAATAATGTACATTTGCCTGTCTCAGGTAAAGGTCCAAAACTATTACTGAAAACTAATTAATTTTCATCTTGTGGTTTCTTCCTGTCTTTAAAAGTAATTTCAGCTGCTTTCACGTTCTCCTGATCAAGCTTCTGCTGGTTACACATGCCATAAAAATAAAAGCATATAACTACACTCAAATATGAAAGATTCAGCATTATTACTCTAAAGAGGGCTGCTTCAATCACAGTGTTGATCTGAACAGGCCAAATGGTTTTTCCCTGAAGAGGAAGTACAGGATATTTCCATAGAAAAGCATCCAGACTGCAGCAGTCTTAGATCTTGCTTAGCAGCTCCCTTTGGACACCAACAGTTAAAATTATATTAAGATTCCTAAATTTGGATCTATAAGAGAGAAAAATACTTCCATGAGAGAGGAGCTTGGGTATGTGCTGCCTTTCCTGACGGATTCTCAGCTGTTTCCATGGGATCCCTTAAGGTTTTGGGCTGTGGAGCTGACACACGAATACATGTTACCAAACTTCAGAGCTGCTGAAGTAGTTTGAATTTCTTTGTTTTCCTCCCTCTTACCATATGGTCCTACAATAAATCCTCATGTGATATGCACAGAAATGACTGTTGAAATGAAATAATGACTGGTTTTAATTGCAGGTTCCACTGCAGCTCATCGAAAGCGTGGAGTGCCGGGACATATTTCAGCTTCATTTGACCTGCAAGGACTGCAAGGTGATAAGGTAGGAGCAGGCTTGGCTTTCCACGTGCTCTGGGCAGCTGGGATGTTCGAAGGAAAGGCTTTTCCTTACTTCCAGGACTTGATTTCCCTCAAAAGAATTTTTTTTAGTGTCTGATTTTTATGGTATTTGGGCATTTTTGTGACGAGAGTGGGAGCAGGATGGGCTGTGTGTGCTGTGGTGCAGGACAGCAGCAAACCTTGGGCTGAGCCCCAGGTTTTACTCTGAAATCAGTTTTAGTCTCACTGTGTTTTCCTGGCATTACAATCAGTTGTAATATATTGCTTCAGTAAATCATAGATATATCAATATCTACATATCAGCAGATAGAGAAGTGGATAAAAGCACTGACACACAACGCTTGGGGAAGTGTTTAATTGGGATTTGGGGTTTGGAGGGTTAAACTGTGGGTTTGGGGAGCTCTGTACCTTCAGCCACCCTGTATTTTCAGCACCTGTGAGGGTACAGTCACTGTCCTAAAGGCATAGTAACCTACTGGGAAAAAAAGGAGGGAATAAGGTGAAAGCAAGTGAGGGAATGAGGAAATCCAGGTGTGCACCCAGCAGAGCAGGCGGGTCATGGAGAGGAGCAGTCACTGCTCTGTCCTGCAGCAGCCTCCAGAGCCTGAGCCAGGACTCTGAGCCACCAAGCCTCAACTACAGCTATTTTATTTTAATTTTTTTTTGTTTTTACTTTTCTGCTGCAGAAATTAATTTTGATCTATGAACTTTAATTAAGGAGAAAGGAACATTCCTTTTTGATTAAATGTTTGCTGGCAGTACCTTTTGTATAATGAAATGAGCCCCAGTCATCTCTGAGCACTCAGAATCTTTAACAGGTCATCTGCTTCCTGAAATGCTCTTTTTCTCACCAGGACTGATTTTACTTTAGAAGTAATATTTAGTTTAATTTGAATCCAATATTTAACTTCCTCTTCACTTGTAGCCCTTGGCATTTAAGAAAGTCACCCTTCCTCTCTACATTAATTTGGTTCTTTCTCTTCAGTAGTAGAATGACTACAAATTATTTGTATTTATGCCCTTCCTTATGAATTTCCCTTCAAAATTGCATCTCCAAGACTGAGGACTTGGTGGGACTGTTGGGAGATGGTGAAGTGTGGGGCTGAGACAGCAGATTTCAAACATTTTCGTGTTCTTTTTCATGAGCAAAGTTTGTATTTTGAGTACTAGAGTTCAAGTGAAGATAGTACCAATTATTTGCACCACTAACTTCAAAGGAATTTAGAGAATTTAGGGTGAGATGTATCTTGTCTGAGTATGGATATTTAATAGAGAATTATCCAGTCCAAGCAAGGAGTCTGGGCTTGCTTTATACTCACTGATGGGAAATAAATAAACACCTCAGGCTGCAGTTCCTCACAGCTCTGCAGAGATGCTGGATGTGTCTTTCCCTTCCACTGCCTGGCCCTGAGCTCTCTGCAGGTGGGGGGAATAAATGTGCCCCCAGGGAATGCAGGTGCCATCCTTACCCAGGAGCACTGCAGGACTTGGACTGAGCCTGGAAATACTCAGGGAATGTTTAATAACTGTGAAATCGGGAGGAAATCTGTCAGAGCAAAGTAAAACACTGGTTTATTCCCACCCTCTACAGTAAAAGGGTCCAGGAATCCCCTTTGAAAAGACAAGCTAATGCAATTTTACTACACTGCTTTGAAGATTAGTTTCTCCTGTGCAGGGAATGTTCTCACCAGTTGTTGTTAGTCTGTGATGTTGGGCAAAGCTCAGTTTGAAACACGTGGTTTGTGCTTCCCACCAAGGCCAGAAGGAGAAGGCTTCGGAAGGGACCTTAAAGCCCATCCAGTCCCACCCCCTGCCATGGGCAGAGACACCTCCCACCAGCCCAGGGATCCAGGGGCAGCCCCAGCTTCTCTGGGCAACCTGGGCCAGGGCCTCCCCACCCTCACAGCCAACAATCCCTTCCTAGTATCCCATCTATCCCTGCCATCTGGCAGTGGGAAGCCATTCCCTGTGTCCTGTCCCTCCATCCCTTGTCCCCAGTCCCTCTCCAGCTCTCCTGGAGCCCCTTTAGGCCCTGGAAGGGGCTCTCAGCTCTCCCTGGAGCCTTCTCTTCTCCAGGTGAACCCCCCCAGCTCTCCCAGCCTGTTCTTGTTTACAGGACTATGATTATAGTTACAATATATAGATTAGAGTGTATGTGGTAGTTTTCTGAGTTTCCACCTGATTCCAGCAGTCAGAAGTCTCTGGAACACGTTCCTGTCTCTGACCTCAGTGATCTGGTCCTTGGTTTTGTAGTTAACACGTGCACAAACATCCCCCTCATTGCTGGCAGGGCACAGCCCTGGTTACTCACAGCCACTGGACGTTGCTGCTCACAGTTAATCCCGACTCCCTAAGGGTGTTTCTTCTCTAATATCCACAGGTTTCCTTTTTACTGTCCATTGGAATGTACAGGGAAGCAGAACTAAGTTGTCCCTAAGATATTTATTCTCACTCCCCGCTTTCCCAGAGGTTTCCATGCTCAGCCTGTCATTCCCAGCCTGCCATCTGTCCCTGCACATTCACCCGGGGATGTTTGTTTGTGGCACAGGTGTCAGTTCTCCACCTTCGAGCAGTGCCAGGACTGGCTGAAGCGGCTCAACAATGCCATCCGCCCGCCCGCCAAGATCGAGGACCTGTTCTCCTTCGCCTACCACGCCTGGTGCATGGAGGTCTATGCCAGTGAGAAGGAGCAGCACGGGGACCTGTGTCGGCCAGGTACGTGGGAACACCCCAGGGATCATCCCAGGGCAAAGCAGATCCTTGATATCTCCTGGAATTATTGTGGTGGGTGTGGTTCCACAGAATCCCAGGATATGCTGAGCTGGAAGGGACCCATAAGGATCGTCGAGTCCAGCTCCTGGCCCTGCACAGGCCCATCCCCAAGAGTCACCCCCTGTGACCCAGAGCATCATCCAAACCCTCCTGGAGCTCTGGCAGCCTTGGGGCTGTGCCCACTGCCCTGGGGAGCCTGGGCAGTGCCCAACCAGCCTCTGGGGGAAGAACCTTTGCCTGAGATCCAACCTGAGCCTGCCCTGACACAGCTCCAGCCATTCCCTGGCTGCTGTCCCTGGTCCCCCCAGAGCAGAGCTCAGTCCCTGCCCCTCCTCTGCCCCTGCCCAGGCACTTGGAACTGCAGGGAGGTCTCCCCTCAGTCTCCTCTGCTCCAGCTGAACACACCAAGTGCCCTCAGCTGCTCCTCATTCCTCTTTATGTTCACCACAGCAGCAACTTTGAGTGTAAACCATGTGGTGTTGGTTGTGCCACTTTTTTTGTAACTGCCTGGAGCAGTGGTTTCCAGCATGGATGTTGAGGAGCAGGAGGTGAAGGGAGATGGGAGGCCCTGAGCTGCTCCTGAGCTTCATTCCCAGCCACAGCACTGTGATGTATTTTAGTGCAGTACCTTCCTTGCTGGAGGGTTTTCGAAGCCCACAAGTAAATAAAAGCTAAAAATTGGGATGCTGGTGGTTGTAGCACTTGTTTGAATATAAGAAATTTGATTTCCAGGCCTCTGCAGTCTCTTGTCACTCACAATTCACTGCCTGAGGGAAGTGTCCCAGCTGTCAGGCTGAGTGATGTTCCTGGAATTCTGTCCTTGTTCCTGAGGTTTCTCTGGAGCTGGGCACAGACTGTCATGCCTTTGGTGCCTGAGGAAGAGCAGTGAACAGGGAGCACACAGGTGAAGGAGGAGCTCCTTGGCTCCTGTTCCTGCACATCACACACTTCCTCAGCAGCTGCTGGAAAATGGCAAAAAAATCCTCAGGGCAGAACTTCACACCCAGGGCTTCTCCCTCCTCACTAAATTCAGGAAATGGGAGATAGCAGACATGTGGAAGCATTGCTGGGTCTCCTTGTAGCCCTTTTCCTCACTGAAACAGGTGGGTTTCAGCCTAAGGCTGGGTTAGGATAATCAGGGAATCATGGAATGGTTTAGATTTGAAGGAACCTTAAAGTCTCTCATTCCACCCCCACCATGGGCAGGGACACCTTCCACCAGCCCAGGATGCTCCAAGCCCTGCCCTGCCTGGCCTTGGACAATGCCAGAGAGAAGAAGGAGCATTTATGTTTTTATTTAAAAACTTCTACCAATCAATTTTTTTCTTTTCTTCAACATAACTTTATCTTCCTGTAGCTGCCTTTTCCTGGGGGTGGATATTCTCCTTCACAGAGCTGAGTTATAGTTGAGATAAGTCAGTGTGAGTGTTGTTGAAGAAGTTAATCCCAAGACGTTGTAAGTTCTCTTTCACATCCAAGCAGCCCATTATTTGGCAGATATGTACAAAAAGACTCAATTGCTTCAAAATCCATCTGAGTATCAACTTCAGGGGAAAAAGTATGTTAACAATGTATGTAACAGAGATCTGAGCTGTGGCTCAGCTCTTATAGCCAGGAGGGGTAAGTCCATAAAATGTCCAGCTTGTATTTCCTGTGATTTTGAGAGTGGATTGGGATGCTTCTGAATATTATCCATCTTGACTCAAAGTGCCTCTTAAAATGCCAGCATTTCAGGAGGAATGGACAGGATGTTAAGGCTGGGGTTTCATTTCTCAGAGGAAAACCTGGGATTTCCCAGGAGCTAAAAATTAGGAGGGAGAAATCAAACAGAATATTTCATTTACATGGAGTTTTATGTGTTTCTCTTAAAACCCTCCAGGGCTATGCAGCATTGATTGGGGATATTTCCAGTATTCTCATTTGCTATCCAAAAAAACCTCCTTAAGGATGGATCACAGGTTTTAAAGACCATTCCTCAGAGCAGGTGATGGTGAAGCTCATCCTCAGTGCTGCAGGAGCATCTGCTGCTCCAGTCAAAGGGTTTCTGGGATTTTTAAATAAAACACCTTCCACTAGCCCAGGTTGCTCCAAGTTTATCCATCCTGGCCTTGGACACTTCCAGGGATCCAGGGGCAGCCACAGCTTCTCTGGGCAACCTGTGCCAGGGCCTCCCCACCCTCCCAGGGCAGAATTCCCTCCCAGTGTCTGTCCTCTGTGTTTATCTCTAATTGTTCTGTGATGCCACATTAAAAAATCGTTTCAGACATGTGCATTTACATCTTAGAGCTAAATGTGTATCTGCAGATATCTGGGGGATTGAAAGACTTTAAGGGTTTTCTGAAATATTTAATGGAAAGATGTAATACTTAAAGCATTAATTTTGCAGCAGATTTCTGTCCCCTGTTGGGTGCTGCTCTGCCTCAGGATTTAATGATACAGTAATTTAAAGAGACAGGCAATGGATGGACTTTCAGAATCACTTGATTTAGTGTTGCTCTCATGCTCATTAAATTTAACACATTTCTTGGCTCTGGAAACCTGGGAATTTTGTCTAATTCTCTAGAATTTAATAACTATCAGAATAGTTATTCTTTACTGCCACTGTATATTTTTGCAATTGTTTTTTGATACTTTTTAAAAATGTCTCTGGGAAATAAATTGGGCTCATTCCACTTCCTTTAATGTATTAATCCAGGAATTTATGAGGATCTTGTGACTGATATTTATGCATTTTACCTTCCTATCTCCACATGACTCATGGAGGGATAATGTCCAATTTATGGACAGAAAACTGAGGTGCAGGATAAGTGACAGGACTTGCCTCCAGCCATAGAGGAAACCTGGGGCTGGAATTGCATATTCCATGTTGATTGCCCACGTTCCAGAGCACATTCCAGCTCTCAGCCCCTCACCAGAGCTTCACATTCTTCTCATTGATACAAAATTCTTCCGAACTTCACAAAATAAGAACTCCTATTTTTTTTTTCCCCTGAAACACCTGATGTATCTAAATTCCTTCTGCTGATGTGCTCGGGTCTGGTTTGCAGTGTTACTGTTTTACATGAATTTCCCAAAATTGGTCATTTCAGGAAATTACTGTGTTGGACTTTGGCATTCCTGGAGAGTTGACCATGGAGAGCCATCAGTGCAACTGTCAGAATGAGGCTGTGAAATGCAGCTGGCTTTGCACTGACTGATGTGCTGGTTTTCTCTTGACTATTTTGTGAAGCAGGAATCTTAATTTCTTCTTTCCCGTTTATTTTCTCCCTCTGCTCTTGCTCCCCAGGAGAACACGTAACTTCCAGGTTTAAGAACGAAGTGGAGCGGATGGGGTTTGATATGAACAATGCCTGGAGGATTTCCAACATCAATGAGAAGTACAAGTGAGTACTTGGCAGATTCACAGCCAAATGGCAGCTCAAAACACTGATTTTTTTATGGCAGATTACTGGAACTTTTTTCAAGTTCTACAGTTCTTAATACAGGCCAATCAGAATTATGATTTTTTTGTTGTTCTATAGAAAATATGCTTTTAATTATTGAATATTTTATTAGCTGATATGAATTTTTCAGCTTAGAAATCCCAGATTTTGGTGTGCTTGCTGGAGGACAGAGAATACGCATTCTAAGGGAAGAAAAGGGGATCTTAAGGGAGCAAAGAGTGTAGTTTGAACTTTTATAAACCATTTTTTAATTCTGTCTTGTTCTCTAACTTATTACAAAGACATGTATTAAAGAAAAAACAGGTTTGAAAGAGTTAAGTTTGCAAATGCTGAAAATAAGAGAAAACACTTTCTGAGGTCCTTAAAGCCCAGACAAAAGTCCTGTGTGGGCTCTGGAGCAGAGGAAGGTGCTCCTGGATTCTCCTGTGGTGGGACAGGGTGTTCTGGCTGCTCCCTGCCCCAGCTCAGAGCTAAACCAGCTGGAACTCTGCATGATGGAACACCCAAACAAATAAGAAAGTCTTGTTACAAAATCGTGCTGCAATAGACTTTCTCCTTTTAGTAAATGGCCAAGGATGTCAGGAGTTTGAAGGCCTCTGCTGCCTCAGCTTCTCTGATCACTCCCAATCTATCCACTCCCAAATCAATCAGCTTAAATCCTTGGTTCATGAAATCAGTCAAGTTAATCATTTGACTTTTGATGATTTTTTCAATTGGCTACCTTTTAAAGGCCTCTCTTCCACTATTAAGAAAATTATTGTAGTTATTGTGCTAGGACTTTTCATAGTGTTTCTCTTTATGTGTGTCTTTCCATGCATGCTCAGTTGTGCCAGAACCTTTCAATCATTAAGGGCATATCCTGCTCCAGAAAACAAAAAAGGAAGAGATGTAGCAATGGATTTATGGAAAAAGTCTTGCCAAAGATGGGCTGGTGAATCAGAAGTTTTTAATGTTGTTTAAACATGTGTTAAGATGGCTTTTTGCAAAGTCACTGCTCCTTCTTCCCGACACCCTCTGTAAAGACCCCTTATCTCTCAGGCAGGAGTGTCCTGGGAAGATGTCCTGAGGTGTTCTCATTGGTCTTTTGTTAACCCCTTCCTTATTTGGCTGTTAACTCCCTACCTGATTGGTTTTTTGTAAGACCCCTCACCTTAAATGGTCCCCTTTGACCCTCCCAAGAGCTTTACAAACCCCTACCCCACATTAAACTTCCTCTTTCGTCCGTCCCTCCCTGGTGGGCAGCGTGTGTGCTCCTTTGGGGGGGTCACAGGCCACGAGGTGGGGGCAGGGTGGGAGAGCATGAACCTTTCCAGGTAATGCACTGAAGCCAAGGCCTGAAGGTTCCCCCCTCCAACTCATCTACCATTACTTTCCTTGCTCTGCCTCTGCAGGGTAATGCCTTGCAGCTGGTAGTTGGTGTCACTGCAAGAATCCCTGCCTTGGTCTCCAAAAATCCCGGGAAGGAAAAATAGCCATTCCTTACACAATTAATGCTGGAGAAGGAGGAATTTATTGACAGGCAGTGAAACAAATCAGCAAAAGGGGCTGCACAGTGTCAGTCCTTACACTACCAGGTGTGCAGCTGCTCTGTGTCACTGATGTCCAACCCTGTGCACCCCTTTTCCCCCAGGCTGTGTGGCAGCTACCCCCAGGAAATCATCGTTCCCGCCTGGATCACGGATAAGGAGCTGGAGAGCGTGGCAAGCTTCCGGTCCTGGAAGCGCATCCCTGCCGTGGTGTACAGGTGAGGCCCCTGCAGGTGCACCAGCTGCTTGGAAATGGGGGGTTCTGGCAAATAAAAGCTGAAATAAGCTGTAAGTGGGAATTTTGGGCTGGTAACAAAAGGTGTTCAGGCTCCCCTGGGTAAGGCAGAACCTGAGTAAGGTTCACTCTGAGAGGGAATGATGGTTTGCATTTTGAATTCCAAACACATGCTGCAGGAGCACTCGGCATTTGCATCTCCTGCAAATCATTCCTGGGGCAGTCACCCCTGTTAAGATTGATTTTTAAGTTTTTTTGATATGAAAATGAAAAAATGTAAGCTGAAGGTGATAAATGGCCTCCCTGGCTGGGTGTGCCTTTGGCTTTTCTCTGACTCTGACCTGGCTAATTCTCAGACTGCAGCAGAAACAAGGACAAATACCAAAATTACTTGAAGGAGATATAACACTCAAATTAAAAATTAGTACATGGTTTAGATCTATCTATATATTTTAGATATTTTTCACTAGACAGCCTCTTATTTAGATTGAGTCCAGAAACTCTCCATATAAAATTGCTTTTCTGAAATACTGGGTTTTGACAGCTTCTTTAGGAAGAAATATATTTCAGCATCTGTTTTTTCAAATATTCTGGATTATATGGATATTCTGTGGCTGCCCCTGGATCCCTGGAAGTGTCCAAGGCCATGTTGGACGGGGCTTGGAGCAACCTGGGCTAGTGGAAGGTGTCCCTTTCCATGGCAGGGGGTGGAATGGGTCCCTTCCAACCCAAACCATTCTGTGATTCTATAAACCTGTCGTTTAACACCTTGGCCCCTTCCCTGGTGTGGTTATCTTCCCTTAAATCTTTAAAATCTCTTTAAAAAATCAGATGACATAGGGATTAAAAAGATAATGAGTACTGCTGATGCCCTAAGCCTGCCTTGCCACCCATTCCTTGGGATCAGCTGCAGGCTGACTGTGGAGAGCAGGAAACTTGGCAAATCCATAATCCTGGGTGGGATGAGTGAGGGCAGAGAGCTCTGGGCCACAAAACACTGTTTACCCAGCTGAAGGTTCTTGTCTTGGGAAAGGAGAACAAATGGGCTCGTGGCAGCAAAAAATTCTCTTTAAATCCTCCTGTCTTCTCTCCTTTGCCTTCCAAACAGCACAGGGATTTAGAATGGTTTCTTTTGGAATGGTGAGGAGTTTTTCCATCCTCTGCTCAGCTCTGGGAGGGGGGAAAAATGCCTTCCAGCCTATGCTGACTTTTAAAAATTTATATATTTTGTTATTATGGTGCTATATATAATATATATATGTATAAAAGAGAACAGTGTGATTTCTCCGTGGGTTGGGGTCAGCTTTGCACGCTGCATTTCAGGCCACTTTGGGCCCTTTTTGCAGTTGTCACGTAATTAGGGGAAACCTCACCTCCAAACACAGGGCAGCTTCCCTCCTCCTGTCACCCCTGCACCCTTTGTTCTCATCCCTAGGAGCAGCCTGCATTCCAGGGATTTATGGGAGAGCAATTTAAAAGTCAAAAGACCACAGAGACTGAAATTGTCCTGTCCCTGCCTCCAGTTCTGTGCAGTTCTGCTGATGCTCTCTGTGGTAAATCACAGCTGCCTTTTCATTGCCAGTCTTCAAATCAGGGAGAGAAAAGTGTTTCTATTATTTTGACTTTTTTTTTTTTTTATTTGGCATTTAGTAATAGATTTTTCAAGACATCCAGTTCATCATTCTGGGCTCTAATTGAGCTCACAGCAGGGAGTGGATGATGATCCATAGGATTTCAAGGCCAGGTTGGATGGGGCTTGGAACAACCTGGGATAGTGAAAGGTGTCCCTGCCCATGGTAGGGAGTGGAACTGGATGGGCTTTAAGGTCCCTTCCAAGCCAAACCATTCTGTGATTGGAATTCCATGTATAGTTTTATATATATATATATAGCCATAAAAACAGCTTTTTCTTACTCTTGGAGGGGTAAGAAACAAAACCTTATTCAGCATTTTTTATCCGTTAAAGATGATTTGGGGACTTAATGATTTTAGTTTCATTATTGATGACAGTAATAAATCTCTTTTTGCTTTACTTCAGGGGGAAAAAGAGTAATAGTGATTTTTAAAAAAATTAGTCCAATGACTTGTCTCAGATGCTGAACAGTGGGACAGAGAGAGACCAGAGACAGACCCCGACAACCACAAATTCCCTGTCCTTGTAAAGCAGTCGGGGCTGAAAAGCAGAACAAACAGGGCTGAATTCGGAGACAAACGTCAGGAATACTCCTGGAGATTGGACTGTCAGGAGTGTTGCTTCTATTCTTGATCAGATTTCTACAGAAATCTCACACCCAGTCTCTGCAGTTTTGCTCAGTGTTTACAATTTTTTAAACCTTTTCACATATTTTATGAGGTCACAGAATCCCAGACTGGTTTGGGTGGGAAGGGACCTTTAAGCTCACCAGTTCCATCCCATGGACAGGGACACCTTCCACTAGCCCTGGTTGCTCCAAGTCCTTTCCAACCTGGCCTTGACACTTCCAGGGATGGGGCAGCCTCACCTCTCTGGGCAGCAATAGTTTATGTGGATAAATCTGGCCTGTGACATGGATTTTGTAGCTTCCTTGTTTTGGCCACAGAAAATCAGTTTTAGAGAGAGGGCTCTTGGGATTTTGTGAAAAGACAGTAGAGAGGATTTCCTACCTTCTGGAAAGAGCATCCTAAGCTCGGAGAGCCTCTCTGGACGCTGGCTGTGTGGAGGGTGTCCTTTTGCCTTGCCCACTGCTGAAGGGGAGCACCCACCCAGGCAGCTCCTGCTGGCACAGGGAACGAAGGCACGTGGAAAACTGCCCTGTTCCCTCCTTGCTGAGTTCTATCCCTGAATTGCTGCCATGGGTTTTCCATTCCGAGTGCTGGCAGTTCAGCAATGCAGCACAGGGAGCAATTCAACCCTCCTTAGTCCTCCTGCTCTGTAGTTACAAGGACTTGGGAGATTTATTGTTGTGCTCAAAGGTGGTTTGATCACAGGGGGGTTAAGCCTGTGCAGAGGTGTACGTACGTCCTACAGCCATACAAGAGCTTGTAAAGGGCTTTAGAGCTGCCTAATGGGGGTTACTCCTTGGTTTCTGCAGGGGGGCTGCGTGTTGATGTGTCTCTAGTGAGGGAGTTTGCAGGGGAGGTTTTGCTTTAAATTTTTTAAATCTGTTTTTTTTGGTTCCTGAGCTCTGAGTGACACCATCTTATCCCGAGGGACCTCGGAATCACTGGCTCTCTTTTATCCCAGTGGCCAGTCCAGTTGGAATGAGTGTGATTCCTCAGACCTCCCATGCCCCTAAACAGAATTGTTTGCTGATTTCTGCTGGTACATCTGAACGTGGCATGTTTGTGTGGGATAGGAGTGCTTGGGCTTCACAGCCACCAACGAGCTCAACTTCTGGCCTAGTGATTCTTTATTATTTGGGGTATAATGCGAGGCAAGAACCTGGAGATGAAAACCTAACTGTTTATGAACCTGTGAAAATGAATCTGCAGCAGGTAGTAATGAAATCTGGGAGAACATATGGAAAAATAAATGAGCTGCTCTGTTCAAAATAGATTTCTTACACGTATAATGATGTTTTATTTTCTTTTATTATTTGCGCAAGCAGAGCGGGGAACAGGGTGGCCTTTCAGCGATTGGCAGGGATTTTTTGCTGAACTAATTTGCTATGGGTAGAGCTGTTTCTGAAAGGCTATTAATTCCAGCAGAAATCCATTTCCCTGTGCCGGCAGTCGGCTGGCACCTGGTGCAAGCGCCGTGGCTCCGCATCGCCTTCCCTCCGCTTCAGCTAAGGCGGCGTGTCAGCTCCCTCCTCTCACTGAGGGGATTTTACGTGAAACAATTATACAAGACCCGTGGAAAATACTTAAAATACCACATCACAGCCCGTTTTGTGCCGGGAGGGCCCTGCCCCGCGGAGCCGTGTCCCGGCGGATGGGGAGCAGGAGGCGGCGGCGCCCACGGGTGCCCGCGGGGACACTGCGGAGGAGGTGCTGCACAGCCCCCCGGGGTGACAGCTCTGACAGCACATTGCACACCAGCCTGTCACACCCACAGACAGCCCTCGGAGTGCTCACACGGAGAAGGGGAAGATGGAAAGCTTTGGGGGGGTTGTCTTCCTGTGCAGGGCTGGCGGAGTCGGCTGTTCAGATTTGCTTAAGGGTTGTGCTGAGCCTTCACTGCTCCGGTGTTCCTTGATTAGAGGGAATCGAACAACTCCTGGTTGCCCTGGGGCTGAGATGGGCAGTTTGTTTGCAGGAAGGCTCTAAAATCCTTTGCTGCATCGTAACCTGTAGGAGCTGTAATTGGCAAGTGTGTGCTTTGTAAATGGGGGGTTGTGCTGGGACTCCTGAGCAGGAACAGCAGTGCCCAGAGGCACCTCTGCTGGAAGGGATGTGTTCCCAGAAATCCACCGCTGCCCTGGGCTCATTCCACAGCGTGGGCAGCAGGGCAGGGGGGATTCTGCCCCTCTGCCCCCTCAGGTGAGACCCCCCTGCAGAGCTGCTCCAGCCCTGGGAAACAGCACCCAGAGGACGTGGAGCTGCTGGAGAGAGTCCAGAGGAGGTCACAGAGATACTCCCAGGGCTGGAGCCCCTCTGCTCTGGAGCCAGGCTGGGAGAGCTGGGGGGGTTCACCTGGACAAGAGAAGGATCCAGGGAGAGCTGAGAGCCCTTTCCAGGGCCTAAAGGGGCTCCAGGAGAGCTGGAGAGGGACTGGGGACAAGGGATGGAGGGACAGGACACAGGGAATGGCTTCCCACTAACTGAGGGCAGGGATAGATGGGATATTGGGAAGGAATTGTTGGTTGTGAGGGTGGGGAGGCCCTGGCCCAGGTTGCCCAGAGAAGCTGTGGTTGCCCCTGGATCCCTGGGAGTGTCCAAGGCCAGGTTGGACGGGGCTTGGAGCAACCTGGGCTAGTGGGAGGTGTCCCTGCCCATGGCAGGGGGTGGAATGGAATGAGCTTTATCGTCCCTTCCCATCCAAACCATTCCACAATCCTGTGATCTGCAGGCCATTTAAAGAGAGAAGCACAGTGTGTGGATGAGTGGGGGGATATTTCATCTGGGACCTGAGGCAGGGAGTGAACATCTCTGGGTGTCCTGTTCTCAGCATTGTTGCCTCACTGTGTGGCCTCAGAGAAGTTGTGTCTCTGCTGCTCTGGCCGCTCCCTCTGTACTCACAGCTGGGCTTCCTTGGTCCAGGGCTGAGCTCCCTGAACTCAGGGGCTGCTGGGGAAGGTCAAGGAGAAGGTTGTTATTCCCAGCTGCAAACGCTTCAGTGAATGGGGAATCTCAGAGCTGGTGGCAGTGGGATGTGCCAGCACAGAGGCAGCAAGTGGAATTACTGTGATCAGATGTTTCAGTCCTCTTTTTGTAATAGATTGTAGGGGAGAGTTTTTAAATCTTTTTCAGGTCACGTTTGCAATGGTTCGATGAGTTTTAATTATTTCAGATCTGTCCTTTACGTGTAGTACAAGAAGCTGGGTCTTTAAGGAAATAACTCTTCAGACGTGTAAAAAAATGTGATTTTTTTAATGTCACTCCCCAGGAGGTGAGAGCTGTGTTCAGGTTGGGGTGTTCCTCATTTATTTCCCACCCAGCAGGTGTTGAATTCCTCTGGAATGCCTCACCTGCTGTTCCAAAACGCTCCCCAGCCTTCACTGACCAACAGGCCACAATATTGAGCAAGAAGATGGTTTGTTTTCTCTTCCTGACCTTGCTTTGACTTTCCCCTTTCAGTGACTGTGTTCTCAGTCAGCATTTGGAAGGGAAGCACCTGGAATACGCTGCCACCGACTCCCAGGTTGGATAACTGCTGAACGGCGGCGAGGTCCCCGGTGGGAATTAAGATACCGCGGCACACCAGTGAAGTTTTCATGCCCTCTGGATCCTTTTCATCCTGATCCTTCAACTTATGCACTGTTGGTTTTGTTCTTCCTTCCCTTTGCAGGCACCAGAGCAATGGGGCAGTGATCTCCCGCTGTGGGCAGCCCGAGGTCAGCTGGTGGGGCTGGAGGAACGCCGACGACGAGCACCTCGTCCAGTCTGTGGCCAAAGCCTGTGCCTCGGACTCGAGGTCCAACAGCAACAAATTAATGAATGGGAATTGTTCCAGAGATTTCTCCAATGGAGGGGACCTCTCTGATGTGGAGTTTGGTAAGTCTGTCACTGTTGCTTTTCTGTGAGGGGCAGAGTTTTATGTAAAAGCTTAATCTCCTGCGCTGGAACAGGATGAATCCATTGTGTTCAGTCAGGCATTCTCCAGATACTGTGTGCATGTGCATCGTGGGACTGAGTGAATCGTGTTGTGACCAAGGTCAGAAGTATCCTTTGAATTCCTCACCAGTTGCATCTCCTCCCTCCCAGACTCCTCCATCTCCAATGCCTCGGGAGCAGAGAGTTTGGCAATTCAACCCCAGAAGCTTTTGATCTTGGACGCGCGATCGTACGCGGCAGCCGTGGCCAACAGAGCCAAGGGGGGAGGCTGTGAGTGCCCAGGTGAGCAGCACTTCTTCTGCTTTCCATTCAGATAATCAAAAGGATGTGCTCCAATGGAATTGCACTGATCTCCTTCAGTCCTGCCTGTTTAACTGACCATGGGGATGGAGGGCTGTTCATCTGTCTGAACGTTCTGGATCGTAGCAGCCACCACCAGCCCTTCCAAAGGGCAGGTTTAGCTGTTCATTAAGGCTGTTCCCAGAGCATAAACCCAGCTGGTGACAGAGCTCAGTAAATGCTGAACTGTGTGGAACATGCTGATGAGCTCTCCCTTGCTGAGTCAAATATATAAACTAGAGAGAGACAAAGGTGTCCAGTGTGCTCATGGCTAAAAGCCCTGAACTTGTAAAACCCACTGACTGCAGAGAATAATAATACTCTAGAATGGTTGTGCAAAATACAGCTTTTCAGCAATTTTTGTAAAGCTGAAACATTTTTCAGCATTTATATCATAACCAACTGCAATCCTGCTTCACCTTGCATGTAATACATTTGCAACACCACTTCGTGTTCTTTGGCACTTGTGCATTGGTGCTTTTATAAACAAAGTGTTATTTATGGTCACTACTGGGTATGAATGCAGCCTGTTAAAATTCCATGGGTGGAGAGTCTGGAAAAAAATCCCAGACAGAAAAACTAGAGATAAGATAACAAAATCTCTTTTGACCGTGTATTCTTGTTTTGGTCTTTACTGCAGTAGCTGCACTTTATGCAGCCACCAGTAAGGAAAGATGAAGTTTCCATTTAAAACCTCAAAATTACTATATAACTCTTTATAAGAGAGTAAAATTTTGAACCAGAAAAGCAGAGTCTACAGGAAGTTTGATTTTCTTGTATATTGGTTCTTGAATTCTGTGTAGAAGACTTTTAAACAGCTTGTCATCTTCAATAAATACTTGTATTGCTTTCTGCTGCTAAGTTTTCTGCAGGTATTGCCAAGTTTGCTTCATTCTCTGTATAAAAATAGCTCATTTATGCTGTGCTTTATTTTAGATATAACATAACTCGGTGAAAAGACTAAAAAATGCTGAAATTGTCTTGTGCAATCTGTGGCTGAAGTTACAGAGTCCATTGCTAACAGGATGTTCTCTTTGGGTCAGCAGCTGTTGGGCTGATAAAGAATTGGGAAATCAAATGATACAAAACATGCTCAGACTCCTGCATTTCCTTGTGCAAGCACTCAGTATCCCAGATTCTGCATCCTGATTATTTTTCTCCTGTAGCAACAGTCATTTTAGCTATTGTGTCACCATTTTTGTGCAGACAGAAGCATCAAAACTAAATCTAGGAAAACCCATTGAACTGGTGTTTTTCTGGCTCTCCTTGGGTGCCCCCCTGAGCTGTGACCCTGTCTGCACATGAGCACATCCCATAGCAACATCCAAAGTAATTCCATATATCTTCTGTTTTCCTGAACTTCCAGTATTTCTCACACATGTGATGCTTCCTCATAAAATTCCCCTCAGAAGAAAGCAGTGGATGGAGTAACCTTTCAGCCTTTCTGAGTGCTTAGGGAAAGCCATCTATAACTTGCATCCATAAATTACCAGTTAAATATTATTTGTGCTTTGCATCTTATGATGTTTCTCAGTCTTTACAGACACTCTGAGACCTGGAGCACAGGAGTATCCCTATTCCCATAGGTTTGCACTCTGCTTTTTGTAACCTGGAGTGAAACATTGCGAGTAAATCCAGCAGGACTTTGGTAAATGCTTCCTGTTTTGCTGAGCTGTGGTGTCATCCCTGGAATACCCACCAAGCTCCAAGGGCTGGTGTGTCCTTACAGAATAGTCATAAACAGATTATTTCATCTGTCCACAGCAACAGGGGTTTGTTTTGATGAAAAAAAGCTTCTTTTAGAAATGCAGTCGTTTAATTTCTTCCCTCTTTCTTGCCCTCTCCCTGCAGAGTATTACCCCAACTGTGAGGTGGTGTTCATGGGAATGGCAAACATCCATTCCATCCGGAAGAGCTTTCAGTCCCTGCGTCTGCTCTGCACACAAATGCCAGATCCAGGAAAGTAAGTGGATGTTTGGGCCTTGGGTGACATGTTTCTGCAGCCACGTTCTTCTGCTGCTGGTTTGGAAACTGAAATTCCGTGGGTTTTGCCCAGTGACTGTCCTGGGTGATAATGGTCAGCTGTGTATTTTCATTTCCATGGAGGTAATTGGTTTACTGTGATTGAAGTGAGAATTAGTTGTGAAATGATAGTATAACTTTGGATGTTGATACCAGAGTGTTGCTACTTCTGGTGGGCTTCTAAGCACTCACACTTAGGTTGACATGCTATTCCCAGCTCTTTAATATTCACATCTTGTCTCTCCTTTGGAAAACTCTGGCTGTGTTCCATGTTCCCTCATTTATAGTGTCATTTCAAGAGAATATTTCATAGCCCTCCAGTGCTATGGGGTATCTACCCTGTAATGGCCCATCAAATCCAGAGCTTCTGAGCTTGGGTCTTCACTAGGACACTGGAGTTGTTAATTAAGGCTGTTCCCAGAGCATAAACCCGGCTGGTGCCAGTGCTCAGGGAATGCTGAACTGTGTGGAACATGCTGATGAACTTTCCCTTGCTGAGTCAAATATATAAACTCCCACTTACCTCTTTGGAAATTGCTGCTAAAGCCTTCCATGGTCTCAAAGTCGATCCAGACCTTCAGCTCATCCCAGAGAGTGGCAGTTCCTCGGGCAGACGTGTGGCTTTGCTGCTCCACCCCGGGAGAGCGTTAACGAGACATAAATGAAAACTGCCACTCAGAGCTTATTGAAACAGCAGCTTTGCCGTGATAAATTCAGAGATCCAAACCTGAAAGCATTTTAAAAGAGCAAAAACTGTCTTCCCTTGTTTCCCTCTAGTTGGCTGTCAGCTCTGGAGAGCACCAAGTGGCTGCAGCACTTGTCTGTGCTCCTGAAGTCGGCGCTGCTGGTGGTTCACGCCGTGGACCGGGACCAGCGGCCGGTGCTGGTGCACTGCTCCGACGGCTGGGACCGCACCCCCCAGATCGTGGCGCTGGCCAAGCTGCTGCTGGACCCCTACTACAGGACCACAGAGGTGGGTGATCCCTCTGGGAGGGCACTGGGGAGCTCAGGGCTTTGGCTGAGCAAACCTGGCTATAAATTATTGCAGTTCTTTCCGCTAACGAAGGCACTGAAGCTGGCAGGAGTTAACCAACCACAGCCTGGACGAACAGTCTCCAACTCAGACATTATATTCCCTTTGCTGTAACTGCACAGTCATGGTCTGTGCTTCCCCATATTTACCTCAGGAATATGGAGTACAGAGTGCTGCAATTGCAGTTTCCATTGCCCCACTGCAGGTTCTCAGCCAAGCGCTCAGACAAAGCCTTTCTCTTTGCTGGATTTCCCAAGTGCATAGCTTTCCAGTTTCACATTTTCCCTGTCCTCTGTCAGTTATATTTCTCCTTTTTTTTCAGCCTGAATTTTTTCCATCACTTTGCAGCACTGTGGGACATGTTCTGGCTGGGTTCCATCTGCCAGCCCACGGGCAAGATGCCTTTGTTGTCCAGAACAGAACTCTGTGTCTGAACACTGCTGTGAGCTGCTGCTTAAAGCCTCACTCACACAGGGACCAGAGGCTTGAGCTGCAGCAAAGCCTTTTGGATGGAAGTGTGGAAACTTCTTGGATCCTTTTTCACATGGGTTCTACAAGCTGGCATCCACCAGGGCAAAACATGCTGCTCTGGCCTGGGCATAGTACCTCCTCCTGGTGCTCCAAGGAGTGCTGTCCCTCCTGTTCAGGGTGCAGAGTTCTGCTGTGCACACCCTGTGCCTTCCTTGTCATCCAGAGGAAACCATAAGCTGCAGCTGTCTATGCCAGGATCAGAAATGTTGAGGAAAATGAGTCTTCAGCATTGCCACGTCTCACATTTCTCACCTGTCAGCCATTATTTTGGCTCTCATCACAGCCTTTGACTCAATAAAGATTCTCTACAATTTTTCTTTCCTCCAAGAACCAAAACCTTCCTGCCCTGTGATGGATTTCAGGTCCTGTAAGACAAGGTGTCACATTCAGCTGCTCATCCAGGCACTGTTTGGGAATGTCTTTGCCCTTTTCATTTTCATGAGAAATCACTCAAGTGAACCTTTAATCAGCCTTGTGACTGGTGTACACCAGACAAGCACCTGCTCTCTCTGAGCTTGGATGTCCTGTTGTGGATTGTTTTCTTTCCTAACAGGCAGATCTGCCCATCATTTTCAAGGGAAGGCTTTCAAATGTCCTGTCCAAATGCTGGGTACCATGATCCAGATGGATTTGATCAAGATGAAGTTCCTGCTCACCCCTGCCTGAAGAGATAGGGCTCATATCAGGATCCTCCCTGCCAGTCATTGAGGACTTAATTTGCCTTATTCCCTTTCCTGTTCCTGTAGTTTGGGAATCCATACCTGTCCCAATTTCATTTCAGAGCACAGAGGCACTAAAGCAGCAAAGAGAAGTAATGGGCCCATTACTTCCCAGTGCCGAAGGGAAATAAGAGAGTGAGGGCACATCAATAAAGTGATTCCCACGAGTCTCAGACCACCTTAGAAAACTGAGCCAAAGGAAAACAGGAATTCTTCATCTGTCCTTTCATTTCTGCAGGGTTTCCAGGTGCTGGTGGAGACAGAGTGGCTGGATTTTGGCCACAAGTTTGCGGATCGCTGTGGCCATGGGGAGAACTCGGATGACCTGAACGAGCGCTGCCCGGTGTTTCTGCAGTGGCTGGACTGTGTCCATCAGCTCCAGAGGCAGTTCCCTTGCTCTTTCGAGTTTAACGAAGCATTCCTTGTGAGTTGAGAGTTTTATAGACTCTTCTAAACTGGTGCTGGCATCCACAGAGCCTGGGGGGCTGATTTTCCCACCTGTCTGTGACATTCTGGAAGTGTCCAAGGCCAGGTTGGACGGGGCTTGGAGCAACTGGGCTAGTGGAAGGTGTTCCTGCCCGTGGCAGAGGATGGAATAAGATGAGCTCTAAAGTCCCTTCTAACCCAAATCATTCCCTACACATGATAAAGGTAATGTCAAAGCTGCCCAGATACAGCAAACAAAATTATTTGTATATTCCATGGAGTCTATTCACTCTTAAAACAGAAGCAGGACCCTTAAGGGTCCTTTTAGACTTAAAAGAAATAAATTATATCAATTAAATATTCCCACCTAAGAGGTATAAAACATCCACACAGCATGAAAAAAATCATCCTTACTGGCAATACAAACCTCCCCCTGCTTTGATCATGTTTTGACTTGAAAACTCCTCCTCTAAAAACGATCTGCTCCATTCATTTTTTTTTTCAGTTTCTTTGCTGAAAATGAAATTTTTCAGTTTCTGTGCTGAAAGGATATAGGAGCTGTGTTTATCTTCTCTGGAAGCAGACAGCTCTGCCATTAGGAATTCACCCAGGATGGTCAAAGTCAGTCCCCGGGTGTCTGGGGAAGTGGCAGTCACGGGCTGCAGGAGCAGTAATCTGAGGAGTAAAAGTTTTTATGAAGTGTCTGATCCACTGAGAGATTTAAGGCACATTCCTGTGATTGTGGCTGACTTGAATTACCACTTGCCAGCTCAGCCATGTAACCGAGTCCGTGGACGGTCCTGGCGTAACTCGGTTGTGAAATGAGATACAACAGGTAGTAACTGGCTTCACTTCACACTGCTGATCTCCAGGGGCTGGCAGAGAACATACCCGTGGTGTTCTGGCCTTTTTAGAGTAACCCCCTAATTTTTTGGAGTATTGAACTACTTGTCTTCATTTGAACACCTGAATAATCCTAAGGAAGTCATTTATATGCCCGAAGTTAAACTCACACTAAGCCATGTTGTTAGGCTGGGCCCACAGCACCGAGGGATTAATGACCAGCGTGTCTGGGGTGCATTAATGTTTTGTAGCAAAGGAATCATGGTTCTCTGCTTTGCCTGTCCTGCAGGGCAGTGAGTTTGAATCACTGTGACCTTTATACTTGATTATGAACAAATATTTTGTCTTTCTAGGTTATATTTTTTCCTGAATTTTTTTAGTTATGATTTTCAAAGGTTCCACTCCACTTGCATTCCTTTGTAAGGAGGTATGCAAAAAATGCTGTGTATCTTGTGTCAGCCCTGGGAAGGGGGTTTGGTCGTGCAGAGGGAGGGTGAAGCTGATCTCTTGTGCCACCTGACACGTCTGAATTGCTCTGTGCAGGTGAAATTGGTGCAGCACACCTACTCCTGCCTCTTTGGAACATTCCTGTGCAACAATGCGAAAGAGAGAGGAGAGAAACACACTCAGGAACGGACCTGCTCCGTCTGGTCTTTGCTGCGGGCAGCAAACAAAGCCTTCAAAAACCTGCTCTACTCCTCCCAGTCGGAGTCTGTATGTATCCCCCACCCCCTGCAGGGAGAGCCCTGGGGGCTCCCAGCTACAGTCCCCAGAAGGAGGGGGGTACCCTGAGAAAACACCCCAACCCTGGGACACGAGGAACAGGGGTTCAGCCACAACTGAGGTGGTGGCAGCCCCATCCCGGGAAGGGTTCAAAGCCAGGATGGGGCTTGGAGCAACCTGGTCTTGTGGAATGTGTCCCTGCCCGTGGCAGGGGATAGAATTGGATGATCTTTACGTTCCCTTCCCACCCAAACCGTTCTGGGATTCTCTGAACTGTCACCATGAACAGAGAGGTGTTTCCAGACCAGTGAGCTCAGCTCTCCCCACTGACGTTCACCTTGGAATACTCAGCTCAGGCTGATGTTTCAAGTCTTGTGTTAATTTTGCTGATATTTGAGGAATGTCAAATGCCACCTCAGAAATTTCTCCCTGCTGGAAATGTGTTTTCTGTAACTAAATATTTTACTGTATTTTTTGTAGCAGAAAGCATTTCAGTGTTTGATAAATAGACCTCTCTAGAGAACTAAACTGTGTCAGAGGAGTGACAGAAAATTGCCTGCAAACCTAGACACTGTGTCTAAATTTATCTTAAAGCTAAACAGAAGAAGTAGCTCAGATTATTTGGTGTATCTTTGTCTCAGTACCTTCACGTTTTCAGTCTGGCTGCTCCATGGTAAGAGCTCACTGAATGTTCTGGGGAGGGGCTCACAGTTCCCTCAGTGTGTGCCTGAAACGAGGTCATGTGAGGCATTGAGGGGTGCAGAGCATGGCCAGGGGAACACACAATCACCAAGTGACATCATGGGTAGGACTGCAAAGAACTTGTATAAATATTTAAGCCCTTTTTATTTATGAAAGTATGAGATGTCATAAACGGAACTGTAAGGACTGTGCAGAGGGTTTGCATATGATAGATGTGGCTTTTATTTGTTCCTTAGAGTAGGATTAAGGAGTAGGGAAGAGTTTTATGCCCACATTGGTTCTGAGAAGATGAGTTTTCCATTCCCTGAGCCCTCCTGGCTCTGTGTGTCCTGGCTGTGGCCCTGCAGAGCTCTGGGCTGTCACTGCGCTGAGCCCTCTGAGTTTCCCTCCTGACACGGCATCCTGGGAGTGCTGAGGCAGAGCAGGCAGACACAGCCTGGGGGGATGTTTGAAGCTATGGATGCATCTAAATTTCCCTGAAAATGCCAGCAGGTGTGCCCAGCAGGAGTAAAGAGGGCTCTTGAAGCAGGATGAGTGGACAGGGCTGTCCTTGGGCTGCCCTCGGGGACTTGGCCCCTGTTCTCAGGAAAGACAACACTGTCTGTGCTAACAAGGAGACTCTTTCAGTGTGGGGGAGTTTTGGTATTTTCCTGTCTTGGGTTCATCTTTCTGTGGTTTTACTTTGGGCTTTAAAAGGTGCCTCTGCTGCAGCCACATCTGTTACAAAGCCAAAGTTTAAGAGCGGCAGCCACCCCACAGCCCTTCCCCTGCTCAGTGCCAGGGAAACCTGACTGCTCCTAGAACCACAGCATCTTCTGAGTGGGAAGGGACCCACAAGGATCATGGAATCCAACCCTGGCCCTGCACAGACACCCCAACAATCCCACCCTGTCCCTGACAATGTTGTCCAAACACACCTGGAGCTCTGGCAGCCTTGGGGCTGTGCCCACTGCCCTGGGGAGCCTGGTCAGTGCCCAACCACCCTCTGGGGGGACAGACTGTTCCTCTGTCATTGCCTGCTTTTCCACAGGGAGTCTGCTTGGAGAAGAGTGGAATTGCTAGCGTGAGCCTAGATGTTTATAAACGGAATCATAAAGCATATTCCACAATCAAGGAATCCCTTTTAAGAGCAAGGTGTCTCTTCCAGGTGTTTCTGCATGTACTGAATTTGTACATGTGAGTGCCTCCTTTAGAACCAGGATGGGCTGGGCTGGATTGGGGCCTATGGAAGTGAGTTCAGCTCCCTGTGGCACAGTGCAACACAACACACAAGGAAACCTTGGCACTGACAGTGGGCCACTGAATTCCACAGCAGTTTAAATTGCTCAGAAGCATTGTGAAGGTGTAGATTCACAGAGGGCACATTGCAGGAGTTCAGTCAGGATGAGCTGAAGGCCATCAGTGTTCTGCCTCTCTCTCTGACAGAAAAGATCATTCTAGACCCAAGTGTGGCTGATTAAACGCCATCACTGCTCACTGGCACCCTCAGGGCTGAACTCCTCTGCCTGCTGGGAGCCAGCAGTCGACCCTTTCCCGTGTTGTCCCTCTCAGGTGCTGTACCCAGTGTGCCATGTGCGGAACTTAATGCTCTGGAGTGCTGTTTACCTGCCCTGCTCGTCCCCCTCCACACCCGCCGACGACTCCTGTGCCCCGTACCCTGTGCCAGGCTCTAGCCCTGAAGAGCAGCCTCTGGGCAGGTGAGCCTAGAGCCCAGAAATCCCTCCTGTAAAGTAAGATCAACAGAGAATATTGTGGGATATAAAAGGAGAATGTTTGTGGCGGGAGGGCAGGATTTCTCCCAGGTGGATTTGCGGGAATGTGGGACTGATTTGTCCCAGTGCAGTCTGTCGGTGTTTTGGGTTTGGAAGCCGTCACATTTCAGGGGTGATAATGTAGAAAAGAGAAGCTTGGCAAATGGAATTATGCTTTGGGTGTCACACAGCCACATAAAATTCCTTATATCCTTGTGGGATATAAGCTTTCCTTCAGTTATCTTGAATTGGAGTTCTTTTTTTGGCATTGCATAACTATTTCTTTGCTTTTCTGTACAATGGCTCTGAGCACATGTTAATTAGGAGGTGTGACCAGACTGGAAGCATTTGGGCTTGGTGGTAAAGGGATTATTCTGGCAATGTTTGAAGTCTGATTGAGCATATTTTCCTGACGGCAAACAAAGGAAGTCCTGAAGCAGCTCTGCACTACAGATGGGCAGAACCTGCTCCTGGATAATGCTTCCCACAAGCCCATTAATGAACAGATTGTTACTGTCCTAATTGAGGGGGGAGCTTTTAAACCACGGTAGCTAAATGTTTAAAACAGCATCCCCTGACTGTGGATTGGGATTGTCTGTGCCTTTGCAGGCTACCAAAGACGAGATCCTTCGACAATCTGCCGACAGCCTGTGACAGCAGCGTGCCTACAGCCGCCCGCCGGAGCAGCGACCCCAGCCTCAACGAGAAGTGGCAGGAGCACCGCCGCTCCCTGGAGCTCAGCAGCCTCGGCCCCTCCGGGGACGAGCCCTTCGAGGGGGACACCCTGGGCTGGCAGGGCAGGGCCCCCCTGGGCGCCGAGCTCTCCGTCGCAGCCGGGGTGGCAGAGGGACAGATGGAGAACATCCTGCAGGAGGCCACGAAAGATGACGTTGGGCTGGAGGAGCACTTAAGGGGTGGCCCGGAGGCAGCAGGGAAAGGGGCTGAGGTGGCCCTGGATAAGGAGAAGAGAGCTGACAATCTGCGGGGGTACGTCAGTGACCTCGGGGAAAAGGCCGAGGCGGACGCAGGTATCGTAACGAACAATCCCACACCCGCCCCACACCCGCTTTCACAAGGTGCTTCTGAGCCCAGAGGACAACAGGACGAGCACGGCGATCCCGGCAGCGCTCTCCAGAAAGTACCTCAGGTGAGGGGGCTGCAGGCTGTTCCTCTGGAGGGCTCCACTCAGAACAACACGGGGGAAGAAGGCGTTGGGAAACACGAAGAAGCAGAGAGCCCGTACGGCACAGCACAGGCCGGCCTTCCCTTCCCTCTGCCACCCCTGCCCGAGGCAAGGACATCCAACATCGAAAGTTCCACGGAGACCTTAACGGAGACTGAAGCAAAGCCTGAGTTCCTGCCTAAGGGCCCGTGCCACAGAGCTCACCCCTTCGACAACAGCGCCGACGAGCTGTCCCGAACTCTGGAGAACAGGCCGGAGGGGGAGTGCATGATAGAGCTCCAAAAACTGGGAACAAGAGTGCACAGGACTTCTGGTAGCAGCACCACGCACCTCCCGATGCCTTCCCCTTGTGCCTTGCCCTTCGCGGAGCGGAAAGACGAGGTCGTGTGTAACGGGGAGCCGGAGCCCGAGAACAAGCTGGCGGAGAAGCCCGCGGGGCTCGTCCCCCCGAAATTCCCCGCCACCAACGGACACTGCGTGAACGGGGAGGACGGGCGGCTCAAGGCCTCGCTCAGCAGGCAGGTGTCGGCGGCCAGCTGCGGCTCCGCCCAGCTGCACCTGAGGAACTTGCACCACAAGTGGGTGCTGAGCCAGCTGGGGAAGCCGGCGGGCGGCAGCCCCGACCAGCCCACCCGCAGCCACCTGGACGACGACGGCATGCCCGTCTACAGCGACGTCATCCAGCAGCGCCTGCGCCAGATCGAGACCGGCCACCAGCAGGAGGTGGAGACCCTCAAGAAGCAGGTGCAGGAGCTCAAGAGCCGCTTGGAGAGCCAGTTCCTCAACAGCTCCCTGCGGCTCAACGGCGACTACGGAGACGAAGTGGTGAGTGAGCGGTACCTGCGCCGCGCCTGGAGCTCACCGGGCACTCGGGGGGCATTTCTGGGCTGTGCAGGCTTTTACAGAACTCTCCAGGTCACTCTGAAGAGGGCAAACACTTGATAAATGGCAGTTAATGACTAATATTTTCACCCAACTTCAGTTTGACCACGAGTGGACCCAAGGTTTATTTTGAGGTGGGTGTTCAGCAGCAGCTCACACGTACCTGGACATACCCAAACACCCTCACTGGCCTTAATAAAACACCCAAACTCCCTCACTGGCCTTAA